AACCTTTCCCCTTTTGATTTGCTGTTGAGGAGGTAGAAGAAGACATTTTTAAGAGCTAAATAAAATGGTAAAGAAGAAGATGAAGATGCAGCAAAATGGAATGGACTTTGGAGGCAGTAGGCGTTTGGAATGGTAAACAAGATGAAGGCAGCAGGCGGTTGGACTTTTGAGGGACTTTGTTTGGTGAGAAAATACTTTTGAAACGAATTAGTAGCCTTATGGGTCACTTTTGTACTTTTGGGGGGGAAAACCAACGGTGGGGGAACAACTAAATAAACATATATTAAATAGAATAATGCTAATGTGATTTATAGACTAACACATATACTAACACATATAGACTAACGCATATACTAACATTAAATAGACATTTATTAATGTGATAAATGTGATTTATTTAAGAATAATATCATCGTAGTGCCGTATGCCTTATTAATAGATAACTAGATAAATCTATATTTTAGCCCTAATCAAATATATAATTAAACTTTGTGCAATTCGTTATATCAAAACCTATACTAATGAAATGAAATAAATGTCATTAATGGTTAACTGGATATATCGTAATGGTTAACTGAATAAAGTTAAGTTGTAGTCCCGAACAAATATGTGATTAAACTTTGTGCAATTCGTTATATCAAAACCTATACTAATAAAGTGAAATAAATGTCATTAATGTTTAACTGGATATATCGTAATGTCATTAATGCCCTAAATATATCGTAATATTTTATTAATGGTTAACTGGATAAAGTTAAGTTGTAGTCCCGAAGAAATATGTGATTAAACTTTGTGCAATTCGTTATATCAAAACGTATACTATTAAATGAAATAAATGTCATTAATGTTTAACTAGATATATCGTAATGTCATTAATGCCCTAAATATATCGTAATGTTTTATTAATGGTTAACTGGATAAAGTTAAGTTGTAGTCCCGAAGAAATATGTGATTAAACTTTGTGCAATTCGTTATATCAAAACTTATACTATTAAATGAGATTTTTACCCACTTGATTTTATAGGAAGAACAAATAATTCATATTCACTTTAACTAATATAAATGAAGTGTTCTTAAATGCTCTAATTCTTGATTTGGTTTCTAAAATTCGCGATTATTCTTCTTTGACATTTTTCTAAATTATTTTAGTTCATTCTCAAATAATGTGATTTACAATTACCATTACAATATGTGTCACAAATCACAACATAGCATATAATGGAGAACAAAGGGGTCAATTTTATTATGTACAATTTATAAATTTTTCTAGGCTTCGCGCGATCATATTCTATCAAAAAAATAATATGCTAATTAATAGAGAAAAAATATTTATAAATAGTATTATTAGGTTAATTAATAGAATTTGTTTATTTAGAGTAAATACTTATTTGTAATATATATGAAGTTTACTCACATAAAAAAATGTGTGCCTTTAAAGCATAAAAAAAGAAAATTTAGTTTACAATTAAATAATTGTTTATTATTTTGATTAAAACTCTAATTATTTTGGTACTCTAATTATTTTGGTACAACTAAAACTCTAATTTTTATAAACTTAAAACTTTTGAATATAATATTTGTAATATTTATCTTATAAACTAACGTGGAAAAATATTATAATATATGTATCAATTAACAGACTAGTTCTCCTAATTAGTTTCTAGGTGTTCTTCTTCAGTCGTTCTTCTCTGCGCCTTTCTTCAGTCCTTCTGAATCATCTTCCCCAACAAAATCTTCTCCTTGTCTCTGGTTTTTTCCGGTACAACACACCCATTCGAGCCCTTCCCAATATGCCTCAGTCCAGTAATCCACCCATCAACAACTTCTCTGCCCTAACAACAAAAACACAGAGCTCTTGATTTCAGAAACTTGCAGCATGGAAACTCAAAGATTGACCAAGACAAAAAGCTTAAAAGGAGACAAAAGGACTAGTATAAATTACTACATAGCAGCGAAATTGAAGGTATTTCGTTTTCCATCTCTTCAAATCTTTACTTAGGGAAATCAATTCCCCAAATTTTTGGTCAACGCACCCGAACTAGTCTGACCGGATCCGACACAGATTCCACACCCTTACCCGTGTCAGTGTCGTGTCGACACCGGTACGACACCGAAATTGCCGTGTTGGAGCAACTTAGTTTAAAGTCGGAATCTTAATTATTCAGATCTTAATCATTAAGTGTGTTTGTTTTTTTTACTTCACAACCACTTAATGGGTCTGAATAGGTCTGTATGATTAAAATCTATAACAGAGACTTAATTTCATTAAGATGCTATCATCCACATTCATTATTAACTGTCACCGCCGCCAACCATTATCAACCACCACCATGCCACCCACCACCACCATACTCAACCACCACCACCACCACCACCATACTCAATCACCACCACCATCATCTTCAATCATAGCCACCAATATCGACTACCATCACCCACCATCCCCACCACCATCATTTCAACGACAACCAACACTCATCCACCTCAACTACCACAACTAACCATCCCATCACCATCAACAATCATAGCCGGCACTACCTATCATTATAAACTACCACCACCCACCGCCACCTTCCTCAATCACAACTACCACCACCATCCGTCATTACTAACTATCACCACCCACCACCACCATCCTCAATCATAATAGCCACCACTACCAATTACCACTAGTTACTACCCTAAACCACCACCATCAACCAAAACTACCACCAACTGCCGCATCTAGTCGGGATTCACAAGCACCACCGTTAGCCATCACCATCAGCAACTACCATAGAATATTAGATTGATTAGCATTTTAATTGAATTTTATGTTTATTAATTTTCAAATAAAGATAAATTGCCTACATTCAGATGTTAAAAATCAAACAGTCATAATCATTTAGTATTCAGATCTTAATACACATTTTAATATTCATATGTGTATTCAGATTCTGATGTCTTAATCTTAATACACATCTTGATATTCAGATGTGTATTCAGATTCAGACGTCTTAATCTTAAAAAAAAAAATAAATGAGGCCTAACACTCCCCTCAAGCTGGTGCATACAAATCATATGTACCGAGTTTGTTACATATGTAACTAATACGAGTATCAGTAAGGTATTTGGTGAAAATATCTGCAAGCTGATCATTTGACTTCACAAACTTTGTAGCAATATCTCCTGAGAGTATCTTTTCTCTGACGAAGTGACAGTCAATCTCAATGTATTTAGTTCTCTCATGGAACATCGGATTTGATGCAATATGAAGGGCAGCTTAATTATTACACACAAGTTCCATCTTGCTGATCTCACCAAATTTCAACTCATTAAGCAAATGTTTGATCCAAACTAGCTCACATGTTGCCACAACCATTGCTTGATAATCTGCTTTTGCACTAGACCGAGCAACCACATTTTGTTTCTTGCTCTTCCAAGACACCAAATTTTCTCCTACTAAAACACAATATCCAGACGTAGAACGTCTGTCAGAAGGTGATCCTACCCAGTCAGCATCTGAGTACCCAATAATTTGCCCATGGCCTCGATCTTCAAACAATAGTCCTTTGCCTGGAGCTGATTTTATATATCGAAGAATCCGAACAACTGCATCCCAATGACTATCACAGGGAGAATCCAGGAACTAATTTACCACGCTCACAGGAAAGGAAATGTCAGGTCTAGTCACCGTGAGGTAATTTAATTTGCCAATCAGCCGCCTATATCTTGCAGGATCGCTAAGCGGCTCCCTCTGTCCTAGTAGAAGTTTAGAATTCGGATCCATATGAGTGTCAACAGGTCTACAACCTGTCATTACTGCCTCCTCAAGAATGTCTAAGGCATACTTCTGTTGTGAGATTACAATACCTGAGCTAGACTAAGCGTCCTCAATACCTAGAGAATACTTTAATCTGCCTAGATCCTTAGTCTGAAAGTGCTGAAAGAGATGTTGCTTCAACTTAGTAATACCATCCTGATCGTTGTTGGTAATGACAATATTATCAACATAAACCACCAGATAAATACTGAGATTTGAAGCAGAATGCCGATAAAACACAGAGTGAACAACTTCACTACGAGTCATGCCAAACTCCTGAATAACTGTGCTGAACTTACCAAACCAGGCTCGAGGAGACTGTTTTAGACCATAGAGGGACCGGCGCAACCGACATACAAGGTCACTAGACTTCCCCCTGAGCAACAAAACCAGGTGGTTGCTCCATATAAACCTCATCTTCAAGATTACCGTGAAGAAAAGCATTCTTAATGTCCAACTGATAGAGAGGCCAATGACGAACAACAATCATAGATAGAAAAAGGCGGACTGAAGCTATTTTAGCCACGGGAGAGAAAGTATCACTGTAATCAAACCCAAATATCTGAGTATACCTTTTGGCAACAAGACGAGCCTTAAGTCGATCAACCTGACCATCTGGACCAACTTTGACTGCATACACCCAACGACAACCAACAGTCGATTTACCCGAAGGAAAAGGAACAAGCTCCCAAGTACCACTCGTATGTAAAACAGACATCTCGTCAATCATAGCATGTCGCCAAGACTTAGGGATAGAAACAAAGGACAAAGATGATACAAATGCACAATGGGGTGATGACAGACGATGGTAACTTAAACCGACATAATGAGGATTATGATTAAGTGTGGACTGTATATCTTTCCGTAGTGAAATTGGTTGACTAAGAGAAAACAAGTCCGCACTATTAGTAGGGTCAGGTGCAGGACGTGAATCAGTTGGGCCTGATGCTGGGCGCGGACAACGATGATAAGTGAGGAGTGGTGGAGCTGTAGAAGGTTGAACTAGACTAGGTGGTGGAACAGGAGCTATAAGTGGTGGAGCTGCAACTGGAGCTGTAGGTGGTGAAGCTGGAGTTATAGAGGAAGATGAATGGGAGATACTAACTGAATCTCCAAAAAATGAAACTGGTAACACCTCAGAAATATCTAACTGATTACTTGCATCTGTGAAGTATGATTAGTTTTCAAAGAAGGTAACATCAGCAGACATAAGATACTGCTGGAGGTCACGAGAATAGCATCGATATCCCTTTTGCGTTCTCGAGTAACCCAAAAATACGCATTTAAGAGCACGAGGAGCTAACTTATCTTTTTCTGGAGTAAGGTTATGAACAAAGCAAGTGCTCCCAAAGACACGGGGTGGAAGAGAGAACAAAGGTAAGTGGGAAAACAGGAAAGAGAGTGGAATTTGATTCTGGATGGCTGAAGATGGCATACGATTAATAAGATAGCAAGATGTAAGAACTGCATCCCCCCAAAAGGGCAACGGAACATGAGATTGTATGAGTAGGGTACGAGCAGTTTTAATAAGATGTCTATTCTTTCTTTCAGCTACCCCATTTTGTTGGGATGTGTATGGACAAGATGTTTGATGAATAATCCCATGAGAGTTCATAAACTGTTGAAATGGGGAAGACAAATACTCTAGGGCATTATCACTACGAAATGTGTGGATAGAAACCCCAAATTGATTTTGAACTTCAGCGTGGAAGGTCTGGAAAATAGAAAACAACTCAGATCGGTTTTTCATCAAAAATATCCAGTGCACCTGAAATAATCATCAATGAAACTGACAAAGTAGCGGAATCCCAAGGTAGAACTGACCCGACTAGGACCCCAAACATCTTAATGGATTAAAGTAAAAGGTGACTCTATTCGATTATCAAGACGCCGAGGAAAATGAGAGCGGGTATGCTTACTGAGCCGACATGACTCACACTCTAGAGTGGACAACTGAGATAAACCAGGTACCATTTTCTGAAGTTTTGACAAACTTGGATGTCCCAACCGTTTATGTAATAAATCTGGTGAATCAGTAATAGGACAAGTTGTTGAACGAAGACAAGATGTGAGTCTATGTGATTTTGCAAGGATAAGGTAATAAAGTCCATTTGATTCACGTCCGATACCAATGATCCATCCTGTATTGTGTTCCTGTATAAAAACAAGATCATCAAGAAATAAAATAGAGCATTTAAGTGATTTGGCTAAGCAACTAACGGCTATGAGATTAAAAGGACTCTCGGGAACATAAAGAACTGAATCTAAAGGTAAGGAAGGAAGTGGACTTGCTTGACCTATTCCAGTTGCCACGGTTTGAGACCCGTTGGCCATCATGACTGTTGGAAGAGATTGAGAACATGAAATAGTAGTGAAAAGAGATTTATTACTAGAAATGTGATTAGATGCATCTGAATCAATGACCCAAGACTTGGAGGTTGAAGATTGGGAGACACGAGTCACGCTACTACCTGTTTGAACAACGGAAGCTATCTCTGAAGATGTTTGTTTACATGCTTTGTACTGAAGGAACTCAATATAATATGATAAAGAAACCATCTGGATTGGATTCAATGCATTGGATCCAACGGGTTGTGAGTCAAAGGCTTCTGATACGAATGACATTATAATTTTCACGCGGGTGGAAAAATCAGAAACCCTTCTGAAATCACTGTTCACGCCGGAAAAATATAAAGTGGTCAGAATTTTGTGTAACTTGGATGGGTAGGCTCGGAATTTCCTTGCGAACAATCTGTCCCAAAGAAAATTTTCAAAAAAGTGACCGGAAAGGGCCCCACGCGCCGGCACGTGACGTCGGAACTTCGTCGGAAAATTTTCTTCCGGCGGCGCGTGGGAGCGCGTGGAGGGTTCTCTGACGGAGATTTTTTATGGGTTGGTCGCCGAAGGCCAATCTACTTCGTGGTGGTGTTGGTTTTTGCACAACACTAACGAAAAGTGGCTTTTTACTTACGGCAGACTTGTGTTTGTCGGAAAAAGACTTACAGTTGATTGATTTCTCTTTCCAGAGTCGCTGGAATTTATGCACAACGATAAATCTCTCACGATTATTCTGATACCATGTGAGAATGCACAGGAGAAAAATCTATTATTGATATTCTGTTTTAATTATAATACAATGAGCCCTATTTATACAATACATATCATACTCCTATTCTATGTGGGATTAGAATTAATTCATATTATTTACATAACTATCTAACATTTGACATCAGATGCAATCTCATCGCTTGTTCTCTATAGTCTTGTGATATCGAGTTTTCGTTAATGGCAATGGAAGTATTCAGCTTCCTAAACAACATTGGAATTTGATAATAATTGAAGAAAAATTGAATCAAGAGAAACGAAATACGGTAGTAGAGAAGTACAAGCAATTGATGAGAACAGTATTTTTGTACTAAAGTGATCAGCATATCGTTGTGGGAAAAATCTTCAAATTTCAAGGAAAAAACTATCTTCTAGAAATCTGTGCAATATCTGCACCTTTAATAAAATAGCCTGTGACAACTCACCTTCAAGATAAATAGAACTATACTGCCTGTCAGTTTCTGTTAACATCTATAATCAGCATTTACTGCTGTTGTTTTGTCCTAAAGTTTTGTGTATGCATGAATATGGTTTCATCAGCACTTAAGCAAATAAACATTTCACAGATTCTCGAGAAAAGTGACTACACTATGATTTCTGGAAATCCCTTCATAAAAAAGGCTGGTAAGTTATCAGGCTTGGGTCATTGGTTCTTCTACTCTCAGCTAACTTTTATTGCATAAACAGCATCATACTTGTGCAGGTTGGAGGAAGATATCCTTTTACTTCAATCTATCATATGAAATTAAAGACAAGACCATCGAGTTTGATGAGAACCGTAATGTCCTGCATGCTGAATTTATAGTTCGGGCATATATGCAGTATGTTCTTTTGATTCGCTCACTCTTCCTATTGAAACATGTTGCTTTGCTATATTCTTTTCAGCTTGTTCCATTTTGCCCTTTCTTTGGTTTGTTCCTAGGGGTGGTAGGTTCTCAGATGGATGGGGTTCATGTGAGCGGCGGGAGAAGAAGTTTCTAAAACCAAATCATGACATTCCCAGCACAGCAGAAACTAGAGCCAAAAATAAAGCATGTCAGGTACATAAATATCCTATCTTAGGAACCCTATAAATGATAAGTTGTTTGTCCTCGATTAATTCATTTTATTAGTTCTTGGTCTTGCTCACTGCTTATTGTGTAGGTGGAGCAATTTCTATAATGATTTTAGGCTTTACTGCTGTCAACTGCCTGCCACTCCATCTTACAATATTTTGGGGTGAATTCATTGTTCTTTGTGAGTAGGGTTTCTGGTGTTGTTTCATCCATATAAGTTGCATCGATCAGCTAGAAAAGTAAAACTGCTTTGAGGCCTATTTCAGTTTTCTGGGCTCGCGTGATGCTATCAAGCCTAACAGTGTCACTTTGAGTCGCTGTCTAGCCTGAACTTAGTAGTAGTCTAGATATGCGCAGAGCCTAAACGTATGGCTGTTTGTGTATTTCCCAGCTTCGGTTTTGCCTTTGTCACAAATAGAGATGGATTTACATATAGTTCGGTTCTACAATGTTATACTGCTTTTAAGTCACTTGTTTTTAATTTGCTAACTGGAGCACTATTTCTAGAGTCAGATAGTCTACACTGTCCGGCTCTATATCTCTGTAGTTCATCCTAACAAATATGAAATTCTTGCAACACCTTAATTCTATGTCTGTATCAGGTTTCTGTATAACTAAGCATGTCTTGTGAGTTTGACAAAAGACAGTGTGAAATCCCTTAGGATCACCCTTTCCTACTTTCCGTTCCCATAGGAAAGTTGAACTGTGATCTGTTGCTAAACCAATTAAATGGCACAAAGTAGTGGGGGATATGAAGAAGAATATAGAAGCTTTTTATCAGTGTTCTTTTTTCCCAATCATGCAGGCATTGTGCATATTGAAAGTGCATGGTCCGTGACATATCTTCCTTATCCTTGTTCGTGTTCTTGTTCTTGCCAGTCATCTTTATTTGTACCATTCACTTTCTGCTGTTTGGACTATTTGTTCCTTTTAATAATCATCAATTTCGTATTATTATAAAATTAGTTTGTTAAAGAGACTCAATGAGTGTAAACATTTACAGGACTTGCTTGGAATTGGAGAATATCGACCTGGTGTGAGCCAGAGTAACCGGTAGAACAATCAAAACAGTAACTTCCTCCATACCCGAGTCATTTGTAGTTCCATTAATCAAGACAGAATACTCATTATAACAAGTCTCCTCCTAACAGAAGGTTCACTCAACCCCAAACCTGATATTGGGTAATATGAAAAGCCATGGAAACAAGTATAGAAAGAAGTTGTATAAACTGTAGTACACACCTAGTGTGCTTGTAACATCTAAAGCCTATCCTGTACTTTGACTTATTATATATTTTTTTTTCTCACTTCATTCTCTCCTTAACGCGACACCAACTTTCAATCTTGGTGACCCCGTGTGTAATAATACACCAGGCTGCGGCATGGGCTGATAATACACTATTGCTATACTTTTCCAAGTTTGATAATATGAAAAGACATTTCTGTTTGGCATTTTATACCATAAATTGACAGTTAGCTTGTCTTCATCATCTACTAGCAGATGAGCTTGCCATACCTTTTGACCCAAAATGTCATTTTTTGTTTTTAAGCGGCAATGTGAAAATGGGCAAAGGACCTAATAGCACTGTAAGTAGAATATTTTTAACATCTGACACACCGACACTAGCTCTGGTTAAATTAGATGTATATTTCGAGTATTGTGTATATTATTGTGATGGTGATACTTCTATTAATGATCTCCGTTGACATCGCCGTTCTTGAAGAATGTGATCTATGATCCACAGTAGCTTCTTAAAAAATGAAAAGTCTGTCAAGGAAGTTTAGATACACGGGTATGTATATAGACTTCTTTTGTATTTTCTTCCTATTAAATTACTTAACCATGTAAATTGATTAATTTAGTATAAATATCTGGGGTGTGGGTAAATTTTTACTGTTTCACTCAGGGCTAGTTAGTCCCATTTGAATTATGTTATATTCATATGATCGAGTATGTCAGTGCATTAATTTCTCAATTGGATGTGTATGTCTTGACTTTCTAAGAGTTAATTCATTACTTATTATTTATCTTTGTATTTTCTAATTTTTTGTCCTCTCATATACAACAACAACCACTCAATATAATCTCACTACTGGGATCTGGGAGGGTAGTGTGTACGTTTTTAGTAAAAGTTTTTAATAATGGTCCGGACTGTTCTCCGACACCTACCCATTTACATTTTTTCCCCCTTTCTCTTTTCATATGATTGACAATTATTTTCTTGGATGCTTTACTTTGACCTCATACTAGGCAAAAATCCTGTTCAAACCACAAGCTCTTATTTCTTTTCCATTTACCTGTCGCCCTTAAACTCACTTTCAATATAATGAATACAAATTTTAATTCTCACTTTAATAACTGTGTGAACTTTGACTAGCAAAGCATAGTTAGTCTTAAATTGGGGTAAAAAGGGCTGTTATACCTTGATAGCAAATGTAAGGATTTTGTAATTATGATGACACAATATGGTTTAATAATGATTGTTGGATTCTACCAAGAAGTTTCATAAAAATAGAAAGGGAGTGCAACTATGTGGGATCTATAATAATAAAGTGTAACTATATTAATTGCACTAACACCGTCAAAGAGTGTTATGAGATAAATTAAAATTCTCGTGTCCAAGCACTAGAAATGAAGAAAGCGTATCCCCTATAATGAGCCCTATGCTATGCAAATTAAACTTAGTCAGGTCAGTGTGTTTTTAGATGCCGAATGGTTAAAAAACTATATTGCACTAACCGTGGCCCTCAGACTCATAAGACAGGGTGTGAAGGTTGAAGACCAAGTTACATTTCTTTCGAATATATATATACTGTACTGCCATTAGTTCCAGTTCCAGCACATTCTTATAATTCTTGTCCTTTTACTTTTCTTTTCTTGTCCAGAGAAAGAGAGTATGTAAACCAGTGGAGATGACAGTTTTTTATTTCTCTCAAATGACCTCACTCTCACTGTCCCCTTCTCACCAATTTTAGTCTTTAAAGCCATCAGTCTCTTCAAACCAGTAGTCAAGTTAATCTATGGCTCAACAGGTACGTACTTCTTTGTCCTTAATTTTTTTTTAATTCTTTCCTTATTTTTCTTCCTATTACATTAGAGGAAAGTGAGATCGTGAGAATCCAACTGACGCCTATTATATAAATGACTCTCACCGGTACTACTAGACTGTAACTCGTAGTGGCTCCTTGTCCTAAGTTCCCCCTCCTTAGCATAAAAAATGGGATTCCTTCTGCTTTTATGTTTGAGCTCATCTGGTTTATTTATTGAATATGGTATTATCTTGTGGATTTGATCATTCTTGTGTTTTTTGTTGTTACCTTTTAATTTGGAAGTTAATTAAAAATTTTGATTCTGCAGGAAGAAGGATGGCCACTTGGACTGCAGCCATTGAATGTGAGAGCTGGGCAAGTCAGAAACCGTGGATTTAATGGATCACTTTCCTTCAATACTTTGATCACTGGTTCTCCTTCCTCTTCCACTGATTCTTCTTCTGATCTTGATACTGAGGTCTCTATTTTTTCATATAAATTAAATTTAGCTCCTTTTTATATAGAATATTCTCTACATCCAAAATTAGAAAATAGTAGATGTAAATTTGGTTGGTTGAGGATACAATTAGTAATGGAGCCACCATATTTACTAAGAGGGGATTCAACATACTTCTACTATGTATACATAAAAATATAAGTCTCGCTTTATATATAGTATAATTTTTCGGCGAATGATAGTATATATGAATTCCTTGTGCTCCCTTGCTCCGTCTCAAAATACATCAATAATAGAGCAAAGAGGAAGATATGTAAATGTGCCATTGCTTTTTTTTTCTTTTCTATTATTTAATCATCCAAATATCAGGATTTTACTAGTTTAATTAATCCGGATTCTTGTCAAATAAGTCTATTAAATTATAAAAAGGTAAAAGCATATGCTATCACATATTTATCTATTTCTGAGTTTCAAAATTAAATTTTTTAATTAAGGATAGAACTATCTCATTCTTTTCGTGTGCTGATTTTTCCTTTATGCATGCATCATGTTATATATATTGCTATAATGCCTTTTTCTTGCATCACTATGGGGTCAATGTCTTATCAAAAGTGGGATGGGGAAGCACTTTACTCTTTACACATGGCCTTTCAATTATTATGTTTCCCAGTCTGACTCAGGTTCAGAAAGAAAAAGAGTTTCTTCTAATAATTTAAACAGACAAATATCTCTTTCTTTTTATCTTTCTTTTCTTTAATATAGATGAATTTCATAATCAAGTAATGGACCGACCATAAAGTCAATATTCTACAATTGAATAGAACTTTGCATGCTTGCTTTGAGCCACACTGCGGAGACGAAATTAGGAATTTTCTCAGTGTTTAAATTTGAAGTGAAAATAATTCTTCGATAAAGGGTATTCAATATATATTTTTTAATTCTAAAATCTAATATTTTACCTGTATATATAGTGTAAATTTTAGACGAAGGGTGGTCAATTGGCCACTTTTATGAGAATGTAGTTTAGCTCATGATGGAGGGTCTATCGGAAACAGTCTTTCTACCTGCACAAGGTAGTGGTAAGACTATGCGTACTCTCTGCCCTTCTCAGACCTAATTATACTCGATATGTTATTGTTCTTATTTTTGAATAAAACTTTCTTTTCTCTGGTTGTTGCAGTCTACTGCTTCTTTCTTTCATGACAAGAGCATAACTCTAGGGAGTCTCATAGGAATTACCAGCATTTTAGAGCTTTCAAGAAGATCAACAAGAAGAAGAACAGTAGTAGTTGAACCCATATTAAGGGACAAGAAGAAGATTAATAACAACAAATCAAGGACTTGGTTATTCTCTCTTTGTTCAAAGCTAAGTACTGATGCAGTGAATATAAATAACAATTCTACCCCATCTTTAGGCCATTTTCTTGAAGCAGAAAGAAGAGCTTCTGCTTCCAATAATGCTTACGGACCTGATGATTTCAATCAATTATCAAATTCAAATATGAATAATTCTTTGTTCATTGGTGGCCAAATTGCTCCTCCTAATGAGTCAAGAAAAGGGTTATTTGAGCAAGATGAAAATGGTCATGGAAGTCATATGATATTCTCATGCTTATGTGGGCACTTAGTTCATTAATTGTCTGATTTCAATCATTTTTTTTAAATGTTGTGAAATTTTATTACCATAATTGTTGTTGTCTCCTTCAAAAGGGACATTTGGTTTAATGGGTAGAGGATTGTTTATTTGATTCACGAGGGGGTGATGAAATCTTGATTCTTGAGCATTTGTAATTGTCATTGGAACTACTAAATTAATTTTCATTCAACATTAAAGATCACATTTCCAAGTTTCGGCATTGTAATGCTTGTATACTTTTTTGATTCAGACTACCGCGTAACATAGAAGGTTTTTTTTTTATATTATTCTCTTTGTTCAAAATAAGTGTTTTTTTAACTAAATCAGTTTAGTCCAAGATAAGTGCGCCATTTTACAAAAGCAAGAATTCATTAATTATTTTTTAAATATATATTTGCTCCAAATAACTGATATATATAATTATTTTAAAAGTTTGAGGAGAGATAAAGAAAAATTAGAGAGGGTAAGAAGCATCTCAAAACGATACTATTTTAGTATTTTAATTGAGTAAAAGCCTTATAAGTAGTATACGCATTTCATATAGATAACTATTGACAACCATACATAATAAACTTTATATTTGACTTTTGAATTGTTAAAATATTGATTTTAATAGGAATAAAACGTTCATTTGTCCTGAATATACAGATATTCCAAAAATTCTGGGTACTTATTTGCGCGTGTGCGCATAGTATAATATATTGAAATTTCGTTGAGAAGAAACCAAAAATTGTTGAACAGTAAAAGTTTTTGAATTGTTACATTGACTAAATATTGTTCTTGCATATATTGACTAGTGTTTAGTAGTAAAATTAAATTTGTTTAATGTATAAACGAACTTTTGTCAACAAAGGTCAAATAGTGTATCACAAAAATCACTTTGTTTCTACCATCTTACACACAAAGTCACTCATTATACTATTTAATTTTTTTAAAGCAAAATATTTTTAAAATAATAAGGCACTCACTAAAATTATTTTCTTGTCTCGCTCCGAGATTCGACCCGTTATCATATATACCCTTTTTATTTTTTTAGTCTCATTAAAATTCATTTACTATGAGCAAAAAAGCAGTATTTAAAATGGTCATTACGAGCAAAAGTTCATCCGCGTTTAATAGGCTAAAAAAGTTCATTAGCTGGTGAAGTTGAGTCATTTAATATGAGTAATAAAGGATTGCAAAAATAATCCTTTAATATGCTAAATGAAAAGAGTATTGCTCAGATAAATGAAATAGTACTACTAACCTGATAAATTCAATATAAATAGTTAAGATAAGAAATTAAAATCAATAAATAAATGCCTCTAAAAATTAAAACTTGCAATCTATGATAGCATTG